AAGAATATTGAAAGTACAATGAACTACAAGAACAAACAAGTGTGCCTTGGAATAAGTCCAGCCAGAATACTACTCAGAAGTGAGTATGGTGAGACTTCATCTCTCATATTTCAGACATTTTATTAACAGGGACCAGAACCTGAAGAAAGACATTATGCTTGATAAGGTGGAGAAGCAGAGAAAAAGAGGAAGATGGAGATGGAATGACACAGTGGAAGCAACAGTGGATTCAAGCATAACAATTGTGAGGATGGTGCAAGATCTGTTGTTCAAAGAGCCACTATGAGTCAGAACCAGCTAGACAGAACCTGGCAACAATTCCTAGCATCTGGTAGTTGTCAGCAATCCTTGGCTTGAATATTTATCACTCTAATTTATGTTACAATCTTCACATGATATTCTTCTCTCTGTGTATCTTTGTGTTTTCACATGGCATTCTTATAAGGACATCTATCAGTGGTTTAGAACCCACCCTATTCCAATATTTCCTCATCTTAACTTGGTTACATATGCAAAAAAGTAATTTCCAAAAAAAAATTATATTCACTGGCACTGAGGTTAGAACAAAATATTTTGAGGGGAAACAAATCAACCCAGTACATGTGGATACAAATATTTGCAAATTTCTCTTTTTGCTTTGAGTCAGAAAAATATTTTTACTCAAATGCTATTGTAGTGACATATACATATGTGCATATTTGCATTATTTTAAGAACATGAAAAGTTTAATTTTTTATAATATTAATTTTATTCTCTGAATATGAAGGAAAAGACAATGCAGAACACAAAGGGGACATACTCATTTGATCAAAAGAAGGACCTTGAAAATATATCCCATATTTTGAAAGCCAACTTTTTACTCAAGGATACCAGAACTCTAGTGGGACTCATTTTTCCATGGTTGAACTACTTATTCTTCATTCCTCAGCTCAATCACAATACTGAAAAGGGAAATGAGCTCTGAAGGCAAAGCAAAGTTCCATTCTTGTCGATACATAGAGAAAGAATGCTCATACAAACAGTTGGGAAAATTGGATTGACTGCAATCTTGGCTTACTCTTACAGAATAAAGTTCTCAAAGACTGATTTTAGTGGAAATTGTTGTTTTTGTTGTTGTTGTTAGATGCCACTGAGTTAGTATTGACTCATAACGACCCTAAGGAGCTCTGGTAGCTTAGTGGTTATGAATCGGGCTGCGAACCTTAAGGCCAGCAGTTGGAAACTACCAGCTGCTCCGCGGGAGAAAGATGAGGCTTTCTGCTCCTGTAAAGATTTACAGCCTCGGAAACTCTGTACAGGGTCGCTATGGGTCGGAACTGACTCCACGGCACATCACAACAACACAACATAACAACCCTATGCACAACAGAACGAAACACTGCCTGATCCTGGGCCAAACTCATAATAATTGCTGCCACGCTTGAGTCCATCGTTGCTGCCACTTTGCCAATCCATCTCACTGGGGTCTTCCTCTTTTTCTCTGACCCTCCATCTTTCCAAACATGATATCCTTCTCCAGTAATTAGTTTTTTTTTACTGATGCCAACATTAAGTAGATAGGTGATCTGATAAAAATAGCAATTTTTCCTTGTACTATTTTATAGCTAAGATATTGTTAAAAGTCCTGAAGACTCTCTTATTAGAAGCACACAAAATAAAGTATGAATTAATAATGACAATAATAAAACTTGCTGAAATATAAATCACTTCACTAAGGCTTTAGAATACAGGGAAATATGTACATGAGACTATTTGACTTCATTTTTCTCTTTTATTTACCATTCTCTGTGACCATAGGATGAAGCTGTTGCAAAAGTGGTTTGAAATACATAAGAAAATAAAATACAGTTTTAAAGTTATAGATTTAGCAAACAGAAAAATAAATCAAATTTCACTTCACATGGAAGAGTTCCAGCTTTAAATTATTGAGGCTTTTAAAGGGGAACTTTCAGGGTTGAATATACTAATATTCTCACTGCAGAGTGGTATGCATTGTCTTGTTATGTCAGGTGATGTTTTCTCTATCCATGGTATATAACTCCTACTCCTTTTCAGCCTTATCATCTAGGAACTGTAGAATGGAACCACTTTTTAAATGATCTCCTTTGGATGCCTGAACAGCAGGGAAGATTGTTATTCATTTGAGTAAGAAACTCAATCATTTCTGGGTTCCAATTAGAGAAAGCCTAAGGGCCCACTTTATTAAGATGAAACACAAATTGTATCAAGACTTGCTAAACCTCTTAATATTTTTATGGTGATATTAAGAAACTTGAACATTTAAAATACTAATTGGGAATATGTGTAAGCTATTTTTAATCTATGCATAATCTCTAGCCTGCATTTCATTATAATTGCAATTTATGGTGCTGACTCCTTTTGCCACCTTGAAGAATTACCACAGAGTATCAAGTATCTTACAATGTAAAGTGCCAGAAGTGACTTACACCACGAACAAAACCTCCTGCTCTCCATTTATTCAGTTTCCTTTTAATTATTATTTCCTGAAATTGATATTTTTTATGAACAAATATATATATTCTAATTATAGATTGGCAATTTTAATAATTTGTCTAGATCTTCAACTACATTTTTTATACAGTATAAATATATACATATGCACATATTTAAATTGTATTTTATACTTAAAGAAGTCATGTGTTTTAAAAAGTAATTGTAAAATTATGAGTAATGTAAGATTATGACTGAGTTTGGGGTATAATTTGTAGTATATGGAAATGGCAAGATATTGTTGTTGTTAGGTATCATTGAGTTGATTTTGAATGGGAATTGGTTCAAACCATACCTATGTGTACTTAGGAATCTTGATATGGTAATGTAGGATAAGCACTGGACTGCTAACCACAAAGTCAGCAGTTCAAATCCACCAGTTGGTCCTCAGAAACCCTATGAAAGGTTGCTGAGTCGAAACTGACTCGATGGGACTTAACAACAATAACATGTACTTAAAATTCTAATTTATGCATCAACATGGAGTCCTGGTGTGGTGCTGTGGGCTAAAGTGTCAGACCTCAAAGTCCTTTGAACTGCAAAGTCAGTGGTTCAAGCTCACCAGCTGCTCCTGGGAAACCATATACAGGGTCACTTTGGGTCAGAATCTACTTGGTGACACTTAACTACAACAACAACATACATTAATACATCATTGCTTTTTTTTATCATTGCTTATTAATACAGGGGGATTCAAAATTTAGTGGAACAACGGAATTGAAAGATACTGGAATGGGATTTTTCTACGAACTTTTTGAAGCCCCCTCATAATAATAATTTTTTGTGTGTAGTATTTTAAGGAGGAATCTTCTAAATTCAGATTGCTGTTATTATAACTTTTGTTTTACTTGCACTTAAGAAGCTTCATAGAAAGGTCATTATTTGTAATATTCAGCTGTGTGAAACAAGCTGCAGTTTTTTTGTGTGTAGCCTGTTATAAGCATTTATGGATGTATGTGGTCCAAGATTATCCAGAGCATCACTTTAAAGGTAGGAGCTAATCAATTCAAATCACAATTAACAGATTAGTAGGAATCATTTACCCAGATCAATGTTCTAATTATATTTATAATAGTTGTTGTTGTTGTTTTTGTTAAGTGCTATCAAGTCAGTTCTGACTCCAAGTGACCCTATATAGGGTTTTAAAAGAGCAAATGGTGAATTTGAATCTCCAACCTTGCTGTTCAAATTGACCTTGAGGTCAAGTGCTGATCCTATGGTGTTACACCAGGACTCCATATTTATAATAACAGATTATATCAGAATGTAAATTAATTATTTGACCAAATTAAGCAAATGTCTAAAACATTTCTGAGAACGATTTTTAACTGTATGGTAAAATTATATTGAAATAAAAAAATGTAGCATAGAAGAAGTAGGAAAATATCAGAAAGCAGAAGAGCAGATGAAATATGAAACATGGTGTCAAATAAGTTTGAATACTTCTCTGATATTCTATAATTTATATGTTGTTGTTATTAAGTGCCAAGTTGGTTTTGACTCATAGTGACCCTACATAGGGTTTCTGAGGAGCAGCTGGTGAGTTTGAACTGCCGATCTTGCAGTTAGAAGTTCAGTGTTTGTCCTACAGTGTCACATTAGGACTCCATATTTATATGCATTAACTTAAAGTAACCAGCAAAGTGCTTTCCTGAGACTTATAGAAAGTGTATGGAAAGGTCCAACAATAACTATGATTATAAACACTTATGGATAGAAGTTGTTAATAACCTATTTCATCTTTAATAATTCTAAAAGACTAATATCGTTCAAAACAGATATCCATAGTTCATTTACTGTCCTTTCTTTCCTAAAAGCAATTGAAACAGAAATTCTTTGAAAGCATTTTATTAAAAGAGAACTATTGAGAAAAATCTTTAAGGGAATGACAAAAGCAAGTGAGTAAATTAGAAGAATTAGGTGTTTTTTTAAAAAGTAGCTTCTCAACTGTGTTCAAAAATGGGTTTAATCCCTGGTAACTTTGAGGAGGTGACTCCAGTAAGACAAGGACTATGTGCCACAAGGAGGCCTAGTGTGGCTGTGTGGGTTAATGCTCTGGACTGTGAAATTGGTTTGAATCACAAGATCAGCAGTTCAAGCTTACCTGTTGCTCCCAGGAAACCCTATACAGAGTCACTATGGGTTGAAACAGACTTGACAGCACTTACCAGCAACATGTGCCATTGTGAATGGTTAGCAACAGGACCTGAATAGCAGACAAGGCACAAGTATGACTACAGCAAGTACTCAGCAAATTACCTCTTCAATACAAATGTATTTAACTAGAATAAAACTGAATTGGGTTGTATTTGCCATATTTCCAACTCTTTTGAAGTGGGTACATGATAATGTTTCTTTTAATATGTCTTATAGAAGTTAGCACTTGGTTACATACAAATTGTGTGTTAAATGGTGACTAATTGTTCTATTAAATTTATTCACAAAGCATGCAAGTTTTCCTTATCTATGTGCATGTTTGAATCCACTAGGCCAGAACCTGTTTTGTGGACAAAGGATGGAGCAGAATTACCAGATCCTGACCGAATGGTTGTGAGTGGTAGGGAGTTAAATATTCTTTTCTTGAACAAAACGGATAACGGTACATATCGATGTGAAGCCACAAACACCATTGGCCAAAGCAGCGCAGAGTATGTTCTCATTGTACATGGTGAGTACTTTTTTGAAAACATTATATAAAAAAAAAAAAACGACTGACCTAAAAACTTAAATTTACCAAGATTTACTGATATGTTCCAAGTCAGGCTAATAAAATAAAATCTTAACATACACTAAAGATAAAAGTTAATTCTGTCAAGTTTTCTTTTAATATGCATTTATTTGTGAAATATTTGGTAAGACTAATAAATTATATTAATGATTATCTTTAAAATTCACATGCCAATATTTTTACTTCTAATTGAGAATCATAAAATTAATGTCTTTCTTAAGCTTATTTTGGTTTTATTATGATAAAATCTGTTTTATAATTGTTATAACTAGTTCCCCAAAGAATGACAGTATAGTACTGAAATGTGCTGAAGATAATATATACAATACTAATGATAACAATATTAATTTTTTATCAATAATCATTTGAAACTTTCACAGACAATATTCTGTTGACTGCAATTATCTCATACTGTAAGTAAATATAACAAAATGGCAGAAGGAAACTTGAGTACCAAAGACTGAAAAGGATTTCTCTGGTGTGGCACTGCTGGTTAATGTGCTGGACTGCAAGGTTAGTGAGTCAACTCACTAGCCACTCTTCAGAAACCCTATACAGGGTTGCTGTGAGTCAGAACCCACTCAACAGCACTAAACAACAACAGCATTAATTGATTCGGTTATGAGGATTTTGGGTCTCATTGAGGTGCAATCTATACTGAAGATAATAGTCTTTGACTATTACCAGTAAGCATTTTAAGTCCTTTTTACTTTCAGCAAACAAGGCTGTCATATGTATCTTTCAGATTGGTCATGACGCTTCCTCCTATCCTAATTTTGTTCTTCTTCATCTAAAACATCCTTTCAGATGATTTCCTCTGCATATAGAATGAATAAGTTTAGTGAAAGGACACAACCCTTATGTAAGCTTTTCCTGATTTTAAGTTATGAATTACCCTCATGCTTTGTTCAAACAATAGGCTCTTGGTATATATAAAGGTTAGGCATGAGCACAATTAAGTGTTCTGGAGTCCCCATTATTTCTAATATTATTCATAATTTATTATGATCCACAAAGATGAAACCCCTAGCAAAGCCAGTAGAAAAATCAGTATTTATCTTTTTGGTACTCTCTGCTTTCAGTCAATATTCATCTGACATCAGCAATGGTATCCCCCATTTTACATCTTCTACTTGAATTTCCAACTGTTGTCTATCACTGTATTCCTATAACCGTGTTTTAAATTGTCATCAGCAAAATTTTACTTGCATTTGATATTAATGTGTGTGTGTGTCTGTGTTAAGTGTCATTGGGTCAGTTCCAACTCATAATGACGCTGTATACGGTTTCCAAGGAGCAGCTAGTGACTTTGAACTGTTGGCCTTGTAGTTGAGAGTTCAGTGCTTATCCTACAGCACCACTCCCATATAGTCACCATTTACACTGGAAAAAAAAAAAAATTGCAATGGATAAGTTGTTGCGCTTGCAAAATTCAATTATGTAGGTTTCTGGCATTATTTATGTCACCAAAGTCATATTTTCCAACTACCAGTTCTTTTTTTCCAACTTTATATTATAATCACCAGTAATTATTAATGTATTTTGACTGCATATTTGATCAATTTCAAACTACAAAAGTTGGTAAAATTCTTCAATTTCTTCATCTTTGACAGTAGTGTTTGGTGTGTGAATTTGAATAATAGTCATTGACTAGGAGTCCTGGAAGGAGCTCTGGTAGCGTAGTGGTTACGAATCGGGCTGTGAACCTTAAGGTCAGCGGTTCGAAACTACCAGCTGCTCCGCGGGAGAAAGATCAGGCTTTCTACTCCTGTAAAGATTTACAGGGTCGCTATGGGTCGGAACCGACTCGACAGCACTTAACAACAACAACAACAAGGAGTCCTGGTGTGGCACTGTGGGTTAATGCGTCAGACTGCGAAGTCATTTGCACTGCAAGGTTGGTGTTTCAAGCTCACCAGACACTCCTTGGAAACTCTATACAGAGTCTCTATGGGTCGGAATCGACTTGATGGCACTTAACAACAACAACAACAACAGCATTCCTTCTAGACATATAGATCACATAGCTATCCTATCACTGACAGCACTGTATTTCAGGATAGATTTTGAAATGTTGTTTTTGATGATAAATATGACATTGTTCTTCAATGTGTCATTCTCAGCATAGTAGATATGATTCTCTGATTCAAAGTGGACAAATGTCAATTTCAGCTCACTAATGCCTAGGCTATTTATCTTCAAACATTCTATTTCATTTTGACAACTTATATATTTTGTTTGTTTGTTTCATAATTAGTGCATTCATATTCTGATTATTAATGGGTGCCAGCAGGTGTTCCTTTTCATTTAGACCTTTTCATTTAGACTCATGCCATATCAACAAATGAAGGTTCTTTTCTAAGAATTATTCTATCCACATTGTTAAGGTTGACTCTACTTTAAGGAGGCGACTCTTTCCTGGTTGTATTTTGAGTACCTTCCAATGTGACAGGCTCATCTTCTGGCACTATATCAGACAATGTTCCATTACTGTCCATAAGCTTCTCACTGCCATTTTTTTTCTCAAAATCAGATCTCCACCTTTTTCATCCTAGCCTTAGTTATTATGCAAGCTCCACTGAACCGATCCACCATGGGTGACCCTGCTGGTATTTAAAGTACCACTGGTATAGTTTCCAGCATTACAGCAACATACAAGTCACCACAGTACATTAAACTGATCAATGCTAACCTAGTATTGCACCAAACATGATGCTGTAAAAATTTAAATAGATCTTAGGAATTTTGAATGGTTACATTTATTTGATATCTTTTCTATGAATCTAATCATAGAGAATTATAAGAGGGTTGAGTTAGTTCTTCCCCAAATAACGTTTTAAGTAAAATTTAAATCTTTGTAAACTTTAATTCTAGACCCCAAATTTTAATATCAGGGAAAGAAAATCAATCCAATTTGTGTTATTGTTATCTGATATTTCTTTTGTTACAATCCTGGCAAAATTAAAAGAAAAATGACATATTAAGTCATTATGCAACATTGTTGTTTTAAAATGTTTTTAGCATATAAAATTTCTCAGTTCTTAAAATTACCTCAATGGGATAGTAAAAGGAAAGTACATGATGGTTAGACTTTGTCCAGTACATCAGTATTTTTTTGGAAGATTAGCAAAAGTCTGTTTCGTGTAAATTGGAGGTTAAAGATATCCCAACTGTTTGACTTTTCCAACATGCTATACCATTCCATAGTCCTTGAATTAATCACTACTCCTCTTTTCTCTTAAGTCCCAGGGTTTAGCAACACACTGCAGTATCTCACAAGACTCACAATTGTTAAAAAACAAAAAAAAAAAAATAGGCTCATGCAATTGTGGAGACGGGCAAGTCCAAAATCCATAGTTCAGAAATCAGTCTGGAGGAATTTTCTCCCTCACATTGTCTCAGTAGTCGAGGATCCCAAATCGGCAGGTCAGAGGTCTGCAGGAGCTGGTGATTCAGGTCAGGTGATGGGCTGAAAGTCCCATGAACTGGAGGTCAGATGTAATGAGCCAGATGCAAGGTATCCTGAGCAAGAGAGAGAGAGAAATTGTCCAAATCAAACTTATAAATTGGAGTCAGACCATTGCCCCAAGGGAAACTAAGGGTGGTGACTTGAGTCACACCCTCTAGTAAGGTGGGGGCATCCTTAACCCTTCGTTCCACTTTAATCTTTACTCATTAGCCCCACTTTAATCTTTATTCCATAAAAACTCATTTCAAAATGGGTCCATATTCTTAGGCACAGAGGCTAAGATTTATATACTATTACAGAATGGAGAAATTTTGCTAGAAGGACTATAATAAATAATGAACTGCCCTGCAGGCCTCCCCCTGGCTCTTCTAGCCATTTGTTCTTTCATACTTGAAAGACTAACCCCCCCCCAAGTGTTTACCAGTCCAAACCAGTCATTGACAATTTGTTTTTCACTATGATAAAGTATTCTAAAAGTGAGGTTACTCAGGTACTAACAATTCAGTTCTGCTATTTGTGTCTGTCTGACCTGATCAGATTCTCCAAAAGTTTGTCTCATCTTCATGCTTGGTTCCGAAAATAATATGGTGGTGGTGGTTATGTTCCGTGGAGTCAGTTCCTACTCATAGTGACTTGGTATAGGGTTTCCAAGACTATAAATTTTTAGGGGAGCAGAAAGCCTCATATATCTCCTGTGGAACCACTGGTAGTTTCAAACTGCTGACCATGAGATTAGCAGCCCAACTCTTAACTACTATACTATTGAGAGATTTTTCCCTAGTTCTGAGTCTTTCTCAAGATGTTAACATAATGTTAGATTTTCCCCACTGCATAACCCATTCATTACTCTACCTTCAACTATTATTTCTCCTTGATTCTGTTTATCATTTACTTTTACCCAAACTTCCCACCTTGGAAAGAGACATCTGTTTCACCTGCTGTGCTACTCCAGACTAGCAAGACCAGTCTAGAAAGTGCTTTTCCCTTTGGCCACTCCCATTCATGCTGTATAGGGTTATGTAAGTACAATGCTAGTCTCAATAACTAGGCAATGCGCTACTATTTATTGTCAATTCCAATTTTGCCAGAAGGTGGAGAAAGTACAATCCATCCTATCAGGCTGTTGGGAATGCTGGCATAAAGGTTCAGGGATATATTTACAGTTTTTTGCCAAGGGATAACCTCTGCTTCTGTTACTCAAAACTCCAATATTGATTCTAGGACTGCAGCTTGCCGCAGGAAAAATAAACAATTTCAGGTGATGTGTGGAAGAACTGTACAGTAGCACCAGAATCTTCCTCCACCCCCTCTTCTTCAGTTCCCCCTAAAACACATAGGAATCTGTACAGTGTGCTCTCCCTTTACCCTCCTCATGTTGAGTGTTAGCACACTCTCATGAAGGTGTGGGAGACAGCCCTTCATGCTTTTATCTTCCCCCATTTTAGATACTAAATGTTTCAATTCCCCATTC